CCAATCAAAACAATGAAAGAGTCGGGCCAAAGCCATAAGCACCAGGGTCACCCCAAGTGGCGCACCAGGACACTTCCTCTTCCCAGCACTGAAAGGCAGTATTTTGAAATCTGTTCCGTGGGTTATCTCCACTCGGGTTCCATTAGCTAGCGAGTGTCTCTCGGGCCGGAACACCTCCACGTCGTCCCATATTTTGGTATTTCGGCCCAGCCCATGGGTGTTGATGAAGACACGTGTCTTGGCAGGGATGTGGTAACCGTTGATCGTCGTGGCTCGAAGGGACTCGTGTGGGATTAAAAATGGCCCAGCTGGGTGCATGCGGAATGTTTCTCGTACTACGCAGCGTAGGTAGTTAAGGTGAGGGAGATCAGATTCGTTGACCATTCGATTGCGACCCACGACCGTATCGAGTTCCTCTTGGATCTTACGGAGGACACGTGGGTGCTTGATCACTTCCGCCATGGCCCATTCGTTGGTCACAGCTGATGTGTCTGTTGCCGCAGCAATCATATCCTACAAGGCATAGAAATAACAAATAGGAAATAAAAAATGGCAAAAGCTAAGACAATCTCATCAAATTTTATCATTTACTAATAAATATTTTTATAAATTATAACTTTTTTATTAGAAATACATGTATTAACTATACAATCAAATATTTATTTATGATAAATTATTATTTATTAGCTAAGTCCCCGAGCACAGACCTATAACTAAAATGGACATTGAAAGGATTGCATTATTGGGCATTTTGCTAATATCACTTAGATGCAAAAATAAGATTAATGAAAGAGAATACAACCTGAATTAGAGCTTTAATATCAGTATCATCCATGTGGGCTTTTCCATCTTCACCAGGCAATGACAATAAAACATCAACAAAATCCATTTCCTCACCATCATCTTCTTTTCCAAATTCTGTCTTCTTCCCTTCCCTTACCGTTCTATGCTCTTCAATAATTCTTTTGTGAAAATCATCCACTCTTTTCTCCACTTCTCTCATCTTTTTCTCACACCCGTAGGGATCCACCCATCTCCAAATTGGCAAATAATCACCCAAATAGATAACACCCAATAGCCGAAAGAGTTCATGGGTTACGTGCATGAACTCCAAGGCTTCTTGTGGCCCAGCAGATTCAGCCCCAAAATATTGCCTGCCTAACAACATCCTAGTCACATTGTTCATTGAAAAGGCACCCAAAACTTCCCTCAAGTTCACAAGCTTCCCAGTTTTAGCTCGAGCCCCAACATCTTTTACTAGATGTTGGGCTTCATCGGCTCGGTGTTTTGCAAATGACTCTAGCCTTTTGGTTGTTAGTAAATGCTCCATGCAAATTCTTCTCATCCGCTTCCAATGCGGGCCTAGAGGCGCCAGGGCCACGTCCCCGCACCCATAGGCGAGATGGACCGCGGCTAGGGTCCGTGGCCGGGACGCGAAGACATCGTCTTGCCGGAGCAGTATTTCCCGAATGATGTCTGGGTCATTGGTGGTGATGGCGTCTACGCTGCCAAGCCGGAGGTAGACTAATGGCCCATATTTGTCACATAAAGAAGCTAAGTCCCTGTGCGGAAGAGGACTTAATTGGAGAAGGTTACCAACTACAGGCCATATTTTTGGGCCAGGAGGAAACTTTTTTGTCTTATGCAATGGCTTGTGCTTGAGCCATCCGCATAGGAATAGGATGTTGACGATGAGGGCTGCACAGAGAAGGGAGAAAGCCAAGCCGAGAAAATCCATGTTTCCATTCAAAGTTTGGAAGTAACTTATCAATTAGAAAATATGGTTTTCTCTGGTACTATATATATGCAAGAACTGACCAAAATAAAGCAAGGGAAGCTTGGTTTTTTGGAGAAAAATAGGTTGGGGTTGATCTCCACGATCTTGACATGCCGACTGGCTGTATGGTTGGTGAAGAGCGCCATGCGTTATGGTCCGATATGTTCTCCTACCTCCAAAGAAATGGCATTTGCATGTAGCTGAGTAGCTGACCGGGGTCATGGGCTCAACGCTGGCTGACTAGTGGCCAGTGCTCGGTGCATGTGCCCGCTGGTAACTAAAAGCAAAAAAATTGTACAAATGTAGAGAACTAATAATGCAGTTAACTCCCAATTTTACTATTTACTTCCTTTGGTTTTTCTTCTTTTTCTAATTTAAATAGAAAAACGTGGCAATCATATAAAAGTAATTTAAGTGATAATAACCATGACTTTAAAAAGCAATATAAATCAAAATTAAGATGAATTCACTTTAGAGATTAGGGTTTAGACTAGTACTATAACATGATTTTTTTATCCTTTTGAAAATCTGTTTACCAATAAAATTAAGAATACAGTGAAAAGAAAACAGAATATAGGTAATTAAGAACGAGCAATTAATTGGAAAAAAAAGAATCAACTTCAGTGATTATTTGATACCAAAACATGGTTATCTCTACACCCCAATAAATAATAATTACCAAGTAAAATTGTATAACACATGGTGAACTTAAATCACTAATATAGTAATATTATCTTGTAATTACATCATTATGGTGATCTTAAAAAAGATACCAAATGCTATCCAAAAGCTTTGCAAGCAAATATTTTTAAGAAATTATGTTAAATAATAATTTATTAATATGATAATGTATTAACTAAAAATATTATTATAAATAATCTTAAAATGTCGTACATAATATCGGAGTACTGGTCACCAGAACATATTGGAGTGCTCTGGATTTAGTTGTCCGAGTTCAAATCTCGGTGGAACCTTTTTTCAATTCCAAAAAAAATAAAAAGAAAATTAATTCCCTTTACGCACTTTTTTTTTTAATTTTCCTTATCATCGTAGGCCGGAGAGGAATTCATCGGATCCCTAATCTCCTCAGCATGCACCAGACTAAAACCTCAAAACGAATTTTCCTGCAAAACAGCGAAAACAATTTCGTTCTTAATTCTATATCTCTTCCTCTCTTTTTTCTACCTCTACACTATGGAACAAGAAACTCGACCAAAAATCGAGGAAACGGTGAAGGAAATACTGAGCAAAGCTGATATGGAAGAGATGACTGAGTTCAAAGTCCGAGTCGCGGCTTCGGAGCGACTCGGAATCGACCTCTCTGATTTTAATCACAAGAAGTTTGTTAGAGAAGTGATCGAGTCTTTTCTTCTCTCTACTGTCGAAGAAAACGGCGATGGAAAAGAACTCAATTCGAAGCTTCGAGAAGAAGAGGCTAAAATTAAGAAAGAATTCGACGGCGACGGAGATCGCCTTATTTGCAAGGTGCAAACCGTTCACTTTTCTTTGGGTCGATTAAATTGTAGAGTAAAAGAAATAAAGTTGCAATTTTTAGCAAATTGTGAAATTTATTTATTGATTTGTAATTTGGAGATTTCTTTTGTTTTTTTGGGAACTGAAAGTGCTAATGAATAAAGATTGTCACTTTAGAAGCTAGAACAGCTATCTGTCTCAGCTTATTTGCTTTAATAAAGTATGAATATTTGTCGAAGTTTTAGTGATTGTGCTTTAATTGAAGTGATTAAGAAATTAAGTCTAGTTTAGTTTATTTTAAACTTTTGTTGCTGGAGACACATACAGTAATATGCAAGTGAAGGATAAAGAACCAAGGTTGGAACTTAGTTTTATTTATGTTAGGGTTTTTTTTTTTTTTCACTCTGAATCCTTGCTGTTATTGAAGATTTCTTGTTTTTGATTCAGCTAGCAGACAAGAGGAATGTGGTGGTTCATGAATTTAGAGGAAAAACTTATGTATCGATTAGGGAGTTCTATGTAAAAGATGGAAAAGAGCTCCCATCTGCAAGAGGTAATCATATATCTGTCGCCCTCCCCCTCCTTTATGCTATAATGCAGTGTTTTATATTATATGAATTGATTGTCATTTTACGGTGATTCCTGATTGTTAAGAAACTCCTATCTTTTTGCTGATTGAAAGGTTGCTTTGAGTATCTGCTCTCTGTAACTGACTTATTCTCTTTGGGTTTTGTATTATTCATTTCTGTTTCTGTTGCCAGAGGTGTTTGAATTGTCATGCTATAGTCTATATTGAGACCGAAAGCTTGTGTCTCAACATCCATTTTCTTTTTCTTACTCCAGGAGTTAGCTTGACAAGCGAAATTTGGTCAGCTTTAAAGAATAGTTTCCCTGCAGTTGATGCAGCTGTAAAAAAGATGCAATCAAAGCTAAGGTGGGACTCCATTTTGAGTTTTGAGGTCAGCAGTAAAGTAGTTTTTATACAGTCTGGGGGTTCAATAAGATACGGGAAGTTTTAGGTAAAGCCAAAAAGAGGATAACTGCAGAGTTGCTTATATCTAGGTTTGTGGGGTTTTTATTCTTGCCTGATATAAATTATCACTCTAAAGAAGCATAATAATGTCCTAATTTACTGCAATAAGAGCTTATTGTGCCTGAGAGGTTCCCTCAAAGATTTTTTTGACTTGAGAACCTATTGCCAAATGGACTGACTTGGAACCTTGAATAAATATACTGCAGTACAAAACTTGATGGTGAACAAAATGGAGATGTGTCTAACTCAGTAACTGCTTTTTCTCATGAATTTTCCCCTATTGAAACCACACGTTTTGATGGGAAGAATTACCATTGCTGGGCAGAACAGATGGAACTTTTCTTAAAGCAATTACAGATCGCATATGTGCTTACTGATCCATGCCCTAGTCTTTCTCTTAGTCCCGAAGCAAGCAGTGAAGAATCTGCTCAAGCCAAAGCTACTGAAAAGAAGTGGATGAATGATGACTACCTTTGTCGCCACAGCATTTTGAGCTCTTTATCTGATAATCTGTATTATCAATTCTCAAAGAAAACTAAGAGTGCTAAAGAGCTGTGGGAAGAGCTAAAACTAGTTTATCTTTATGAGGAATTCGGAACAAAGAGATCTCAAGTTAGAAAGTACATTGAGTTTCAAATTGTTGATGGAAGACCAATTCTCGAGCAAATGCAAGAACTCAATAGCATTGCTGATTCTATTGTTGCAGCTGGAATGATGATTGATGAGAACTTTCATGTTAGCACCATCATCTCCAAGCTTCCACCATCCTGGAAGGACTTCTGTGTTGAGCTGATGCGTGAGGAATACCTGCCCTTCAGGATGTTGATGGATCATATAAGAGTTGAGGAAGAGTCTCGTAACAGAGTCAAACAAGCAGAGCATTCAAAGTATGGAAGCTTTCATCCAGCCAACAATCTTGGCCCAAGGATAAGAGATATGAAGAAACCAGGGGTACCTTGGAAAAGGCGAGAATCAGAAATGCATGGCAGGCCCCCCATATGTAACTATTGTGGCAGAAAGGGACACCTTTCCAAGTTCTGTCGTAATAGAAGATGTGAAAAAGAAGTGAATGGAGAACAAAATGGGGAGAATTCAACTATACCTGCTGTTTCAAAGGTCAACGTAGTTGAGAGCAATGTGTAGTTAATTGAAATAGATGCTGTTTTTGGTAGGCTCAGGTTTTGCTGTTCAGTTGTATTAGAGAACATACAATCTACTTATCTTTTTACCTTGTAAGTATGGCTCGAAATTGTTGTTTTTTTAATGTATTATTTTTACATACCAATGTAAATCATTCTTTGCCAATGGATGTTGCAAAATGTTTAGAGTCGGTAAAATATATTGTCTTATCCGAAACTGCCCTTGAGGTATGTATCTTTGTTTTGGTTCCTATCTCAGGTCTATACTTAAAGCCAAATCTCAGCCTCTACAGATTGGTTTCAGTTGCCAAACCGATTGGCAAATCTAAACTCCAGTTTTGGCTGCCTCAAACTGGCTGTTTTCATATGAATTAAATCGACAAGTTGAAGGATAAAAACAAAAGGTTCGTTCATTTACAGCTCAGTTGCAGCAGGGTAGGTCTCCACCATCCCTGAATAACAACTGCTGTCAGCTATGGGCTTCTGGCATTCAACCTTCGAACTAGAGAATGAGGAGCCAGGTGCAGGATTTGGATTCAGGAAATAATATCTAGCCGGCCCAATTTGTTTATCGAAGCCCATCCTTTGGGCTAAAGCATTTTCTCTCCAAGCCCAAATTGTTCAGGTCTATCACCACCCAAGCGTTGGGCTAAACTATTCCACCCAACACTTGAAAAATTATAATAAACAAAAGTGGAAATGTAGCTGTCATTGCAGTTTTGCCAAAAACGTGCTTTACCAAACACCGCGCATTGGGTTTGGTCCCAGTTTGCATGGAAAGGTCAAAAATTCCTCAAATTTTTTCTCAGCACCTCATAAAAATCTCCAAAGTGCTGTTGGGGACCATTGGCATCGTGTTTTGAACCCCCACCCCCACCTTGATATGTCCTTCCGAAACTTAAACTACTACTGTTATACTTCATCATGGCACCCCTTGGCTTGGTTGAGTCAAACATTAATTGAACGGCTATGATTTCTTCTTCATGGGCACCCCACCCCCCACAACCTTTATAAGGCTTTGAATTTGACCCATCACACGCCAAATGCCTTCAATCTCTTGGTATGAACCCGTTGCTCATTCTGGTTAGAAAAAAACACCAACATGCTTAGCCAAATGAGGATATGTCAATTTTGTTTCCCTGTCCTTGCTCAAAAAGCAAAGTGAACAAGTTTTTTTTTTTCTTTTTTTGTCAACAATAAATAAATGGGGCCTCGATGTGGACTGGAGGGCAGCGTGGGAGATACGTATACAACAAATAGAAAGCAAAAGGCTAGAGCAAAAAATCATGAACTTGGTGTGGTGGCCCCTTATTTCGCCACATGTTTCAGCGCTTATCCATTGTTCAGACCTAGAGACAAGAGACTTATCAATAAAATAAATGAAAGAAATGGTGCACATGGGAGCGTTTTCAAGCGCACGTTTGTGTTGTGTAAGATGGGGAAAGGATGGAAGAATTTAAACGAGCATTAAAATTTGTGGTTAAATTTTGATTTTGGCAGATGGAAATGTGTACTATCAAATTGCATTTTGCAGTGGTGGTGGTGGAGCTGAAGCCAAGTTCCATGGCTAGATCCAGCACGGGCTTCTTGTGGGGTTTTGGTTTATCAGCAAAGACACATGGAAGGATGTGGCTTTGTCATGCTTTTGGATTGATTTATCAAAGGTCAAAATTTGTGTAATTCCCTTCTTCTTTGTTTTTTTTTCTCAAAAGGGAAACACATGTGCCACATGAATTATGTCACTAGTGTTTTGATTGGCGGGAAGGAGCAAACGCGTATGCCATTGGACCACTAAACTCTATCTTCAGAATTATTGAAGGGGATCACAGGCTATTATCCTAGGCAAATATAATTGTAGTCAATTCTTTTTCTTTTCTTTTTTTGTTTCGTTTTCATAAAACCTCATATCTTCTTTTCTGCCAAAGTTGAGAGATACCTCAAATTTTTTTTTCCTTTACAGAAAGGAGAAAGGAATTTAAAGGGGTGGCCTTGAATTTGAGAACGGAATCGGTTCTCTACACCTTTTGATGTTGTGCATCTGAAGAAGCTTCACTCGGTTGCTTAGACAATGGGGGAAAAGGGGAAAGCAAACTGACTTCAAGATTCCTATCTGGAGGTCCTGTTGTTTTGTTGATTTTACAGTAACATAAGAAAGAGATGTACACAGCAAAAACCCTGTACACTCTGCTTTGCTTAGTCCTTGTAAGATTTTGTTTTTGCCTTCTTAGGACCAGAAAAGAAAGTGCATAAGAGATTCACCTCTATCTCAGCAACAAAAACGGAACATTCTTCTTCAGTCACAGAATAAGAACCCTATTTGTTTTGTTTTGTTTTTTTTTTTTTTTTTGCGAGAAAATGCCCCAACTTGGTTCTCTTTCAGTGCCAACAGTAGTAGTTGCAATCTGTGCTAAGCTAATAAGAGATATATGGTAATCAATGATAGACACAGTTTGAAACCCACAAATGCTACCAAACCACAAGCAGTCTCTGCTGTTAATTTCACACTGCCTCATTTTATCTGCTTTACAGTTACTTCCGTGCACATCCACAAACAGGCTTCATCATAGATACCGCGGGTTTGGCACACCAAATGGTTTTTTAACTCCCACTAGACAGTCATGATTGACCAAGGAGATTATAGGTTGTGGGGAAACAGGTTTCCTTAAAAAGGATGTAACATTGGAACAGTTATATCCGACAAACCAACTCTCTTAACTGCTCTTACATGAAGAACAACACTGAATTTATCAAGTACATATATCAGATATAATCCAATAAGCTCAAGCATTTTTCTAACAATTTAGGCAATAGAAATAAGTGTATCTGATGTATCTTAACTTTACAAGTAGATATTGCCAAAGAACAACCCATTGCAGATCACTTGCAGAGAGGGAAAGGAGCTGATCAAGAAAAATGAAATGATATGCATTGAATCATTATCATTCTTTAAATCCTCGGAGATGTCTCCTGCTGACTTGATATATAATGATTCTAACAAGGCAAGAGGACAGAGCAAAGAACAAAAATTGGTGGAACCAAAAATAAACGAACAAAAGAAAAAAAAATCAATTTCTAAACAACCAACAATAACATAGTTGGTTAAACTTACAAATTTAATTCATCTTGCAAAAATACCTTCATTATGACAGAATATGTATAATATAAACAAATCACAGAAAATTTGCTGCCCTACTTGGTCAATAGGTAGTTATTTCTACTCCTAGCAGGCCCTTCTGCTCTTTTAAGGATCACTTGCTATATATCAAAAACCTCTGAAGAAGCTTCAAAACAGGTTCTTCACTGTAATTTTACGCCTATGGACTATGTTAAATGCAATTGTGTACTACCCAAGAGATGATAATGACTGTAATGAACTGGATTCACGCGAAAATGCTGCAATCAACCTTTCCCTTGTTAGCTGCTCGGATCCTTGAGACTTGATAACAAATGTATGAAACACAGTATCATCTGCGGTAACAAGTTTTGACTCAACAACATCGATCTGTGCCTCTTTAAATGCTTGTATTACTCTTGATGCAGGATGTGAATCTAAAGGACAGCTTACTCTTACAACAACCTCATTGTGAGCAGCTTGGACATCAATATCAGGAGCTCGCATATGATTCTCCACAGTTGGATTAGGGTCCAACCCTGCTGAATCTCTTGAAGTACTACCAAACTTCTCCCTTTCTGCTTCCATGACCTTAAGCTTTGCCTGAAGCTCATTAATGTAAGCAATTGCATCTCCTAACAACGAAGCTTTGTCCATCTTGGATATGTTGGGAACCACAGCTCGTAATGCATAGAACCGCTGGTTCAGCTTCTCACGCCGCTGCCTCTCTGCCTCAACATGATTAAGAGGTTCTTCTCTTCCATTAGCGGGCTTTCTACCCCTTTTTCGGGGCCTCCTTTCATCAGCTACACTCGGCTTCTCTTCCTTGCACGAAGCTTCAACATCTGAGTGCTCAGATTCAGCACTTAATGGCCGATTAACTGTGGAAGGCCTTGAAGTAGCCCCTGAAAAATCAATCTGCATTTGCACTGGCTTTTGTGACTGAAATTGGTTAACCCGAAAATCCTCCCTAGCCCCGTTAACAAGCTCTTGAAAATTATTTGGAGTGTTCTGAGAACCATAAAATTCTGTTGGATTCACTTGTTTCACGCCATGAACATGTGGCCAACCTGAAGCATGGAGACCATTTTGATTACTTGAAAATGAAAGCCTACCGCCATTAGCATAAGCTCCCCATGTTGGTCTATCTTCCATCTTTCTTATAGCAAGTTTCTCCCGGTAATTCGAATGACCATGAGAAGTGTTGTTCAGATCCTGCCCAAAAATCTTTGGAATTCCTTCCACTCTCTCCAAAGCCCCCAAATTCGAAAAATGAGTATTTTCATCTTTCTTCTCATTCATCACTGGTATTGCTACTGCCATTTGCTTTGCCCTAAGCAACGCCGAATTAGATGAGAATGAACTTCTTATTGACTGCAACAACTCTAAGCTTTCAGGTACAGATCTCACTGACCCCAATTCAACAACACCTACATCAGTAGGGACCAGAACAATAGTTTGAACTCCAGCAGACTTTGTCAAAAACGACCTAACACAATAATCCGAACCTGATTTCAATGAATCCGAGATCCAAACATGCTTCCCAGATGCAAAACACTTCCCTGGACCACCTTCTCCTCGCGGAAATGAAAAATACATGGATGCTAAAAAGAACATCTCAGTATCAGTGACTCTATCCAACCCAAGAGCATAATTATCCTCATCTGATCCACCAAACAAAGTATGCAATTTCTGCAAAACCCTTTTCCTCATCTTCTGTTGAGTCTCATCTTCGAGCCGCAGATTAAGAATCCGAGTAGCTTCAGATTCTTCTCCTTCTTTAGGCTCTCTACAACACCCATCTCCCCAACCAAGGACCCAATCGCTAGACTTAGACCGCGAAATTTGCCAAAAAATGGCATAGTTCCAGCTAAAATTAGAAGCGTTGGGTCGGTCCACAAGATCTGAGAGCTTGTTTTGAAGAGTCTCATCACTATTTATAGTCATTAAAAGGTTCTCATTTGAAACTGAGCTTGTTATCAAGTAGTCAAATGCTCTTGTTCCTAAAACAGCAGCAACCATAGTCTTATCTTCATCGTTCCAAGCCCCACCTCCCATACCCACTTCAATTTTCATTTTCTAAAT